TTAACTTTGGCCTGTAGAGCGTCCACATGATTTTTTGAAGTGATCAAGGGCCATAACTCTGGCAGTAATTATCGGAAATAGCTGAAAATCAATAGGGTTCTTCATCTTATGACCTTAAACACTGTGTATAAATTTAAAGTCAATCGGATATTAACTTTGGCCTCTATAGCGTCCACAAGATTTTTCAAAGTGATCAATGTTAATATGACGCCATAGCTTTGATGACATAATATAAAGAATAAACTAAATAATATTATAGTTAAATATATAGTGCTGAATCACTTTAGATCCACAGATTAAATACTGTATGGCCTAGTGGTTTAAATGAAATGCCTGTAAATTAATTCTACACCCATTTTTTAACTACCCAGTTAACATTCATGGTTAGATTTACGTAAAGTTTACGTCATTATGGTTAGATTTTTGTTAGCGTCCAATAATGGTAAAATTCTTTGGTTAAATTTACGTTACTTTTACGTCATAATGGTTATGGTTACTTTTACGTCAGGAAATGACGTAAATGTAACGTAAACTTTATGACGGATTACTAACCAATTTTTTTCCCTTTGAATACTTCTTGATTAAATAACATTACAAGTGTGTGCACATTCTAACAATTGATATATAGTCGGAATTCAGACATAATAATTATATATGTATTATTGGTTATAATTCTAACGTTAATCTAACGTAAATTTTACATCAGGTTTCTAACCGTTAGTTTATGGTTAGTTTTCTGACGTAAATCTAACGTTAGTTTTCTGACGTAAATCTAACGTTAGTTTTCTGACGTAAATCTAACGTTAGTTTTCTGACGTAAATCTAACGTTAGTTTTCTGACGTAAATCTAACGTTAGTTTTCTAACGTTAATATAATGTTAGTTTTCTAACGTTAATGTAATGTTAGTTTAATGTCATAATTTTAACCGTTAATTTAACGTTAGTTTTCTAACGTAAATCTAATGTTAATTTTATAACATAAATCTAACTTTAGTTTTCTAACATAAATCTAACGTTAGTTTTCTAACATAAATCTAACGTTAGTTTTCTAACATAAACCTGATATTAGTTGTAAAACGTAAAACAAATGTCAGTTTAATGTCATGATACTAACAATTAAGGGCCTGACAAGACAGCTGTCTAGTCATTAAAATGGGTAAGACCCTGGCTCGCTAGCCTGGAGGTCGGGTGTTCGACCCCTGCATTGGCCGAGAAAGTTCATCCAGATTTCCGGCGTGGTTTCCCCTTGTCAGTGATGCAGGACGGAGAGCCTGACAAGGACAGCTGTCTAGTTGTTCAGATGGGATAAAAAAAAACGAGGTCCTGTGTACACATTGGCATGCATGTAAAAGATCCCTTGACAGTTGGAATTCGATATAAGAGTAGGCCGTAGTCCCACTGTCGGGGCAAAATTTCCCTCATAACACACTGTATGGTGTATGGCCATCTTCATTAGCCCAGTTCGGAGCAGAACAGTTGGACGTTAAACCCCATTTCATTTCATTACATTTTGTATCCATTTCTAAGTGCCCAAGAATAGAGATCTAGCTCCTTTAATAGTTGCGGTCTGTAGGTGACACACAAAGAGAAAACGAATGAATGAATGATCTACTCTCAATTCAAATTCCAAATGTCAAGGGTTCCTTTACGTGCACACCTAGACACTGTTTTTTTGAGGTCCTCTGTCCTACACCACTACTAACAAAGGGAACTTTCTCAACCAACATGGGGATCACGTTGGAAAGTGGGTAAGACGCTGACTCGCTAGCCTGGAGGTCGGGTGTTCGATCCCTGCATTGGCTGAGAAAGTTCATCCAGATTTTTCTGCGTGTTTTCCCCTTGTCAGTGATACAGGACGGAGGGCCTGACAAGAACAGCTGTCTAGTCAGGGATGAAAAACTGAGGTCACGTGTACACACAGGAGTGCACATGAAAGATCCCTTGGTAGTTGGAACTTGATATAAGAGTAGGCCATAGCGCCGCTGCCTGGGCAAAATTTCCTTCATAGCATACTGTATGGCGTATGCTCGTCTTCATTAGCTCAGTTTAGGAGCAGAACAGTAGGACGTTAAACCCGATTTCATTTCATTTTTCTCGACCAACACGGAAATTGAACCCCTCATTTGCTAGCCAGTGTGTTACTAATTACTAGAGAGAGAGAGAGAGAGAGAGAGAGAAATGGGGTTTAACGTCTACTCGACACAAACTAGGTCATTTCGGGACTAACATATGGTTTAATTTTTATTTACATAATTCGCTTGCGCGTAGGGGTCTTTAGCAGTGGGAGAAAACCGGAGGTTGGACAGGCGACCCTACTCCTTGTCACGTACAACCGGGGATTCGAAACCACGCCAGTCAACTCAATGACAAATTTTATGATACAGCGCCCGCACGCTAACCATTCAGCCATCCAACCCCCCGTTACTAATTACTAAGTTTGTGAAATTAAGTTTTTTCCTCATGTAGGTTTGTCCTGATGAAATCGGTTTATTGTCCTACTGTTCTGCTCCGACTGGGCTAATGAAGACAGGTACATACCATACAATGTGCTATGAGGGAAATTTTGCCTACTAATATCGAATCCAACTGCCAAGGGATCTTTTCGTGCAAGCCAATGTATACATGGTACCTCGGTTTTTTGTCCCATCTGAGTGACTAGACTACTGTCCTTGTTCCTGCACCTCTGACAAGGGGAAACCATGTCGGAAAATCCTGATGAACTTTCTCCACCAATGCAGGGATCGAACACGTGCCCTCCGGATTACCGAGCCAGCATCTTACGCACTTAGCCACCATGGCTTTATCAAAATTAGTAATGAAGATGTGCTATGACAGAAATTTTGCCTGGACAGCAGCATTACCGCATTTACTAATGAAGAAGTGCTAGGAAAGACATTTTGCCTGGAGAGCAGCATTTCCGCATATAGTCATTACCAATAGTTCTAAGTGCACGCCAACCTGTAAAACAGGTCTTTACACACTTTTCCATCATTACCAATTACTAGTCTGCGGGTTCACTAGTCTGTGGGTGCACTAATCCGTGCATTCACTAGTCCACTAGTCTGACTCTATAAAATACTATAAATATGAGTATTAAAGAAACCCAGTAGATATGGTGATTGATATCACCCTTCGTAAGGCGATAACCCAACATCACGGCATTTTAACCCGAAATCACAACATTTTAACCATTATAGCATATGCCCTTCTTCATTAGCCCACTTGGAACAAAATATTAGGATGTTCAAACCCCATTTAAAATTCATTTTTATACTTTTCTGAACCAATCGGACTATTGAAGATAGTCATACGCAATGCAGAGTGCTATGACGGAAATTTTCTATGGACTGTGGCAGGGCGGAGGATCTGGCAAGGGATAAGGTATAGTTGTTCGGGTCATACGAAAAATCAAGTCCTCGTGTACATATTGGCATGCACGTAAAAGACACTCCGACAGTTGTAATTCAATATCAGAGTAGGCCATAGTGCCGCTATCCGTGCAAAGTTTCCGTCATAGTACACTGTATATAGTGTATGCCTGTCTTCATTAGCTCACTCAGAGCAAAACAGTAGGATGTTTAATCTCATTTAATTTTATTTAATTTTCCTACTTTTCTGCACCAAATGGGACTATGAAAGATAGGCTGGCAAGCGGACGAGTGCACCCATTGACTATTGAGCATCATTTACTTGAAAACGTTGAGAGAACCCCCAACGAAATGTCGCTTTAATTAAAATAGTAATTGTGTTTTTTGTTGTATCATCGAGTCAAGTGAACGTTAAACCCCACTTCTCTCTCTCTCAATTTTGATACCCAAAAATTTGACAAAACAAATAATGATTGATTGTCGGAAACTGTTTCATAAAGCAAAGTTGTTCTCTACTAAAAGGTTATCACTGTCCAAATGTTCGGAGTAGTCCACACCTAGGCCGACTATGCATGAAGTGTTTTTATAATTAAATTTATTAAATATAGTACCTTGCATCAGTAAATATAAAATTAATGATCCTTTCACCAGTAAATATAAAATTCATAGGCCGACAATGCATTGTGTTTTTATAATTAAAGTTATTAAATGTAGTACCTTGCACCAGTAAATATAAACTTAATGATCCTTGGACCAGTAAATATAATATTCATGATCATTATTTATATAAGGCCTTCATCAACCTTGCACCAGTAAATATAAAATTAATGATCCTTGCACCAGTAAATATAAAATGCATGATCATTATTTATATAAGGCCTTAATGTATGTTTGTACAAGTGTACATTCTTGGAATTGTATTACCATTAACAATATGGAGATCAATTATAATAACCTTTGGCCTTGTTCATGAATCCTTAAATTTTTGAAAATTTAGTTCTTAATATGAAACTATCTAAATAAAATATTGCTTAAATCAATGTGTGTTGTTAATGTCATTCAAAATGGCGGCTGTCTACATATACAATATATAAAATAGGTCATGCGTAGATTGTTGCCGTTTTTTTATTTCGAATTTAAAAGTTCAACACTTAATTATATAAGTTGTAAAACCATATAAAAATAAAGGTTGGACCAAGACTAGTTCCATTTTTTTAAGTTATGAATCTGAAAAATAGATAATAATGACCCAGTCAATTAACATAGAGATCTACTCTAGCTATATGAGTCCATATATTTATCGTCTCTCGATAAAAGACCTATCTCTGAAAATTAAAATTACCCGATTTGATTATTCTTTTAATATAACGTAATCATGTAACCTCATATAAAATATGGTAGAGCGTATACAAACAAATAATATGAATAGATTCATTATCAGAAATATTACAGGCCTTTCAAACGAACAGTCGCCATTTTTAGACTTACATACATGTAGATGTACAAATATATTTTTATCGTCTCGGGCAAGGTCAAGGTCACGATCTGTTCACGGTTGATGATTGTGTTTAAATCGGTTTATATCATATTATTTCTATTCACATTACAATATTTTTTTATAAGTTACGGTTATTGTTGTTATTTATCAAAATTGCTTCAATTATTTATTAAATATTTTTTGTTTGTTCGTTTGACCGGAACGTACGGAATTCTGGGATTTAAAATGGCGGCATAGGTTATTATTTTTCCCAAAGAAGAAATGATGCCGTGATTTAAAGTTAAATAAAGCTATTCCACACATACACACACGATTTTGGATTCAGCAAAGTAAAGTTGAAGGTAAGTGCACTTTTTATGCGAACTTCCGTTGACAGTATACCGATAGATCTAATGTTGATAAAAAAAATAATCTGGCCGTGGAAAAAGTTTGCACGCAACTTTGTATATCAGACAGTCAGTATTTGTTTTTAACACGATGCAGTTACATTGTCCGTAAACCATACTATTCATAAACAAAATCAACATTGCTTTAAGTTATCGAAAGTAATACTGGTTCCAAAATTGTTTTTAAAAAATCTGGATCCAAAAATTAATTTATTAATGATGTAGACTGTTAAAATTCAGGCTGTGCTAATTATAATATAAGTACATGTAGTATTTTCTAAACATTTTTATGGGTGTTTCAGGTTGGGTTTTTTTGTTGTTATTGTACTGATATTTTTGCAAATTTAATAATGCATAATGCAAGAGCTAAATCTATATATTGTACGTAGGTTAAGTAGGTATTTCTTGAGACTGTAAATGTTAAATTTTTTTATAAGACATTTTAATGTATTAACTTGCTAAGTCTATAATCAAGTCTCAATGCCATCGGGTGCTCGAGATGTTCACAGATTCAAACACTGGCGGTTAATGTTAATGATTTAATTTAATTGAAAAATGGATAATCAAGACTTTAAGCTTATATACATAGGCCTATTTATATGATATAACATTAAATAACAAGTTTGCCCGTACATACTTGTACATAAAGGTTTCAGTCCTACTCCCCTGCTTATTTTTTCTTGTGGTGGCCAAGAAAGTTCATCAGGATTTTCTGGCATGGTTCCTCTTTTAACTGGTGCAAGACAGAGGGGCTGGTAAGGGCTAATGTACAGTTGTTCGGATAGGACAAAAAACCAAGCTCTTTTGTACACACGGTCCAGTCAAAATTTTCATCATAGCACACTTTCAAGCATTTGTCCAACTTCTTTAGCCCAGTTTGAGCAGCACAGTATGATGTTGAACCCCATTTCATTACAGATCCACAGTAGGTTGGCTGTCAGCCCAGTTGGAGCTGAACAGTAGGCCGTTTAACCCAATATCGTTTTTTTTGGGAGTATAAAGTTGCTTTTTATTTATTTTTATTTTTTTTACAGATCCTACATGTATATTTGAGCACCCGTGGTGGCAGTAATGACAAAGAAGTTCTAAAAAGATTTATATGGGCTTTATAATGAAAGTTAGACAACACTACTACTTGCCAAACACTACTACTTGTCACATAATGTAATGATATAAATATATATGTATCTATGGTAGCACAAATATCATCAGAATGTAGGCCAAAGCTTTACAAGCATTGTAGGCCTAAAATACTTTCTGTCTGAACTTTTGACAGTCAATTCTTTGATGACTAGTTAGTTTAGAGCAGATATCCTGTCACAGTATTATATAACAGCTCTTTGGCTTAAAATTTAAACTGAGTTGTATCAGTGAGTTGAAAATCATCTGTGTTCCTGTTATTGCTCCCTGCTGCAGCCAGTAAACAATAACCTTTTGCGTTCCTTACAAATCTTCCAAATTTTACTGATAGATCAACCATAGCAAAGATCTCTATTAAGATTATATTTGTAATGTGTGTAACAAATTCTATGACATAGGTATAATATTGGTGTAGTTAAGTATATACCATATTTATGCACACATTTCAATATTGGCATATTATTAGTCTCTATCATCTAGAAAAAAATATTCTATATTCTACGAATATTAGTGTGGTTGCGTTGTCAACATTTGAGAATAATTGGTCATAGGCTAGATTATCCGGTCTTTTACATTATCATAAACAAAGTCTAAGGGAGGTAACTAGTCCTAAAACAAGATGTTGACGCCCATGAAATTTATATAAGAATGCCATTTCCGAAAATCCATTTGATTGCATGTTCAGTTCAATATCCAACACTCTTAATTTTTTTTATTGTAAAATTTCTCTCTTCATGGGCCATATCTATGTTGTTTTTTTTATTGAATCCTAATTCGTCATCACTATTCATGTTTGTTTATAAATGCAAGTGTTATTGACAACTGTCCCAGACCCTCATTATTTATATGGCCCAACTTTTCTTCGGGGTACACCGGCACGGTATTAGACTAGGATAAACATTAGTCTTATATACCGCCTCTACTTAATTATGGATGTAGGTCGGAAAAATGTAAAATTTGGCAATTTGACTTATACTAAACATCGACTTATGCTATAACTGTTTCAAATGACAAGTGCTAAATGAAGTATTTATGTGGTCTTTGGTGAAAGAAATGAAATGAAATGAAATGAAATGGGGTTTAACGTCCTACTGTTCTGCTCCTAACCTGGGCTAATGAAGACGAGCATATGCCATACAGTGTGCTATGAGGGAAATTTTGCCTGGGCAGCGGGGCTACGGCCTACTCTTATATCGAATTCCAACTGCCAAGGGATCTTTTACGTGCACGCCAATGTCTACACGGGACCCCGTTTTTTTGTCCCATAACGACTAGACAGCTGTCCTTGTCAGTCCCTCCGTCCTGCATCACTGACAAGGGAAACCACGCCGGAAAATCAGGATGAACTTTCTCGGCCAATACAGGGATCAAACACCCGATCTCCAGGCTAGCGAGCCAGCGTCTTACCCACTTAGCCACTTGATCCCCCCCCTTTGGTGAAAGAGAGAGAGAGAGAGAAATGGGGTTTACTGTCCACTGGACACAAACTAGGTCATTTCGGGACTAACATGGTTTAATTTTTTATTTACATAATTCGCTTGCGCGTAGGGGTCTTTAGCAGGGGGAGGAAACCGGACGACCCGGAGAAAACCCACGAGGTTGGACAGGCGACCCTACTCCTTGCCACGTACAACCGGGGATTCGAAACCACGCCAGTCGACTCAATGACAGACTTTATGATACACGCTAACCATTCAGCCATCCACCCCCCCCCCCCCTTTGGTGAAAGAAAACAGAGCTGTGGCTAGTGAAATGAAAGTTTAACGTCCTACTGTTTTGCTCTGAACTGGGCTAATGAAGATGGGCATACGCCATACAGTGTGCTATGTGGGAAATTTTGCCCGGACAGTGGCACTACGGCCTTCTCTTATATCGAATTCTAACTTCAAGGGCTCTTGTACGTGCACGCCAATGTGTACATGGGACCTCATTTTTTTGTCCCATTTTAATGACTAGATAGCTGTCTTGTCTAGCCCTCTGTTCTGCATCACTGACAAGGGAGAACCACGCCGGAAAATCTGGAGTAACTTTCTCGGCCAATGCTAGGGTGGCCCATGTACTCACAGAAATACAGTCCACCGCTGATAGTTCGAGACTACCACTGAAGCGTGCACATTCGCCGTGCCGAGACCAACTTTCTGACAGTAAGATACTATAAATAGCCATGGCACGTGCAATTTTCTACAAATCTATCAACTATTACAGCCGTAAAAAATTTATTGTTGACGATTTTGAATAGCAGTAAAATTAAGCTTCTTGGTTATTACAGCAGATTTAGAAATTACGTTCGTTTCATTTTTTAAATCGCTTTATCATTAACTGTACAGTTAAGAGCGGCATCTTTTGGTTTAGTACAAATAATATCTCTGAAACACTCAGGTTAGGCAAGAACATGATACTAGCAGTAGTTTCATTTTACTTTTACAAGCTTCTTAAAACGATTGTTGAGCTACCTAACGTGCTTATTTCTAAATTCAATTTCTTGTTCTAGCTTTCTGTTATGTTTCGTAAAAAAGTAGTCTTGATTATCCCGACCTGTCAATCAGACGTAGAATGGTCGATAGACTGGTTAAGCGAGACTAATTTCAAAACAAGGGCACGTAACCTATCTTTTACTCAAAAGTGTCTGGATGTTATGGACGACTCTTGGAACCAGTTTTCAGTCTATTATTTATACGTGATTAATGGCCATAGCTTATTAAGTACAACATGATCGTTTATTTAGTGACTATAATTGTGTGGAACTGATTTGAGGCTTGGCATATATATAAGTATTGTGGCGTAATTGTCGAGATATATGGAGATATTTATTTATGGTGGGTCACCCTACCAATGCAGGGATCGAACACCCGACCTCCAGACTAGATAGCCAGTGTCTTACCGACTTAACCAACGTGATCCCCGTTGTGGCTACAATTCCTGGATTTGAAGGTCAGGTATGATATGAAACGAATATTTTGAACCGGTTCACCAATGCAACCAATCTGTGACGGGTTAACTGATAGAGGGTTACATCCTTGATATAAAGGTAGCTCAAAATTCATCTCTACATGTACATAGGCCAAGGGGGGATCATGTGGCTAAGTGGGTAAGACGCTGACTCGCTAGCCTTGAGGTCGGGTGTTCGATCCCTGCATTGGCCGAGAAAGTTCATCCTGATTTTCCGGTGTGGTTTCTCATTGTCAGTGATGCAGGACGGAGGGCCTGACGAGGACAGCTGTCTAGTCGTTTGGATGGGACAAAAAAAAACAAGGTCCAGTGTACACATTGGCATGCACATAAAAGATCCCCTGGCAGTTGGAATTCGATACAAGAGTAGGCCATAGCGCTGCTGCCCGGGCAAAATTTCCCTCATAGCACACTGTATGGCGTAACCATTTGCGTCTCTTCAAAATATTTCAAATCTTTTGTCATGGATCAACCATTGCAAATATCCGTGTTACAATTATATTTGAAATGTGTTAAACCAATTCTGCAACACATGTAATATTGGTGTAGTATATATCTTTGTTTATAAACCCACATATCAATTTTGGCCCTGTTTGTCCGTACACTGGGTGTGAAATGTGAATCATTCCGATTGTGATTGGACAAGCATTATCAATATACAGCTTTTCAGGACTTTGCCTTCCTTGGTTAATTCTCCTTTTTTCAAATGCAATAGATGCTGTGTTTATTCTTAATTGATCTTTTTCAAATTTGTGTTACACACTGGAATCATGAGAGGACGAAACCTATCAATATTCAGTATTCCACAACATTCCATTCCAGTGTCGGCCGAGAAAGTTCTTCGTGATTTCCAGACTTGGTTTCCTCCCCTTGTCAGAGGTGCAGGACAGAGGGCCTGACAAGGAGGGACAGCTGTCTAGTCGTTTGGATGGTACGAATGACCGAGGTCCTGTGCACACATTGGTTCGCACGTGAAAGATCCCTTGGCAGTTTGAATTCGATATAAGAGTAGGCTTTAGCGCCGCTGTCTGGATAAAATTCCATAATAGGACACTGTATAGCATATTTCCATGTCATTAGCCCTGTCGGAATAGGACATTAAACCCCATTTCATTTCACTCATTCCAAAGTTAACTCCTATTCCATCAATACCTTGAGCAAATAAGATAGAGGCTATAGGTTTTGGCCAAATTTGGTCAATATCCCAGTTTTTTCTTTCTTATATGCATATCAACACTTTCATAGCGCTAATGTAGACCTTTTTCTTGAACATTTTCCCTTGTCAGTGATGCCGGACAGAGGACCTGACATGGATGGCTGACTAGTCATACGGAAGGGACCAAAAAAAACCAAGGTACAGTGTAAACTCAAGTGTGTGTGTGTGTGAAAGATCCCTTGGCAGTTGGAATTTTATATAAGAGTACGCCATAGCTCTGCACACTGTGTGGCATATGCCCGTCTTCATTTCTCAAACAGCTGTGGATAAAAACTGTTAATATTTAAATGTGTATTTTGTATTTTATAACATTATATTTTTGTCTTTTAAATAAAGTATATGTATACATACTTGTAGTATATTTTGTCATATAATTCTGCTAGATTTTTAACTTTTCTGTGCAATACATTTAGAATTCTGACTGGTTATGGGTAGATAGAGAGCAATGGGGTAAAACATCCAATAGACATAAACTGTCCTTTGGGACTAAGTGATTCAATTCAAGTTGAATAATTCATCCGCACCAGGAATCTTTAGTAGTAGGAGGACCCAGAGAAAACCCATGTTCAAGTTGGGTGTGGAAAGAAACCACTTGACTCAATGACAGACCTTATGATCTAAAGCGCACACGTTGGACCACTCAACTTTTAGCCTCACCCACGGGTCAGGAAAATTTGTTTATTGGTTGAATGTACTTCCCATTTACTGCGGCAAATAATGAATAATTTTGAAGGTTTTAATGCTCATCAAAATTTGACATTAGAATTGCATCCGTAAATGATGTTAATTTAATGTTAGATTTACGTTAGATATCCATCATTTTGCTCATCCTTTTAACGACAATTTAACGTCAGGAAATGACGTTAATCTAGCGTAAAGTTTACGTCATTTTTATGTTATATTTACATCATTTTCTGACGTAAATCTAACGTAAAGTTTACGTCATTTTCTGACGTAAATCTAACGAAAATGACGTAAACTTTACGCAAATTTTACGTTAGATTTACGTCAGAAAATGACGTAAAGTTTACGTTAGATTAACGTCATTTCATGACGTAAAATTATCGTTAAAAAGAGCAAAATGATGGTAAACAGACTGACCATTTTTACGTAAATGTAACGTAAAATTAACATCATATTGTTATGTGGGTATATATTATTTAGCTTATTCTTTATATTATGTCATCAAAGCTATGACGTCATATTAACATTATGACATCACTTGTTACCATGACTAACCTTGTACTGCAACTGTATTATTTGTGTAGCTTGTATTCTCTGAAGAAGTAGGTTTTTAGACTTACGAAACGTTAGATACTATAAAAGATGGTTTTGTGATACCCATGACTGTTTTTAACCACTCCTACTACTGGCAGTAGGGTGATCCACCATAAATAAATATCTCCATATATATCGACAATTACGCCACAATATTTATATATATGCCAAGCACCAAATCAGTTTCACACAATTATAGTCACTAAATAAACGATCATGTTGTACTTAATAAGCTATGACAATTAATCATGTATAAATAATAGACTGAAAACTGGTTCGAAGAGTCGTCCATAACATCCAGACACTTTTGAGTAAAAGATAGGTTACGTGCCCTTGTTTTGAAATTAGTCTCGCTTAACCAGTCTATCGACCATTCTACGTCTGATTGACAGGTCGGGATAATCAAGACTACTTTTTTTACGAAACATAACAGAAAGCTAGAACAAGAAATTGAATTTAGAAAAAAAGCACATTAGGTAGCTCAACAATCGTTTTAAGAAGCTTGTAAAAGTAAAATGAAACTACTGCTAGTATCATGTTCCTGTCTAACCCGAGTGATTCAGAGATATTATTTGTACTAAACCAAAAGATGCCGCTCTTAACGGTACAGTTAATATAAAGCGATTTAAAAAATGAAACGAACGTAATTTCTAAATCTGCTGTAATAACCAAGAAGCTTAATTTTACTGCTATTCAAAATCGTCAACAATACATTTTTTACGGCTGTAATAGTTGATAGATTTGTAGAGAATTGCACGTGCAAGGGCTATTTATAGTATCATACTGTCAGAAAGTTGGTCACCGTATCAAGTTTATTATGACTTCGATCCCATCTAAGTTTATGTTATTCAAATGGTTTTGGATTCCTCTCTCTCTTTATATTTGGATTCACAGTGTAAATTTTAATTGTTTCATCTTATTAATATTTTGCTTTCTACCTAGCAACCATCATTATGACGTCGTTTGGTGTCGCCACCGTTCGCTCAATTTGGCGATTGAGCACCTGATCGGGACCATTCTGTTGATACAAACGACTCGCTCTTAGTCCGGTTGAATGGTTTGGTGGAGTGCTAAAATTGAAAACAACTTCGAGAGAGAGAGCGAGAGAGAGAGAGTCTGATGGGGTTTAACGTCCACTCAACACAAACTACATGTAGGTTCGGTATTAACATGGTTCAATTTTATTTCAATAATTCGCTTGCGCGTAGGGGTGTTTAGCAATGGGAGGAAACCGGAGGACCCGGAGAAAACCCACGAGGTTGGACAAGCGACCCTATTCCTTGTCACGTACAACCGGGGAATCGAAACCACACCAGTTGACTCAATGACATACCTTATGGTACAGCGCGCACGTGCTAACCTTTCGGCCATCCAACCCCACAAACAACATTGAACGTGATATCTATGTATGGTTTGCAAATACGATTTCAAATACGGTCGGTAAGACGCTGGCTCACTAGCCTAGCGGTAGGGTGTTCGATCCCTGCATTGGTCGAGAAAGTTCATCCAGATTTTCCGGCGTGGTTCCTCCTTGTCAGTGATGCAGGATGGAGGGCCTAACAAGTACAGCTGTCTAATCGTTCCGTAGTGCCGCTGTCCGGGCAAAGTTTCCTTCGTAGCACACTCTATGGCGTATTAGCCAAGTTCGGAGTAGAATAGTAGGATGTTAAACCCCATTATATTTAATTTTCTATTTCAAATACAAGCTAAACAGCATTTGTTCATTTTTTTTAAGACAAGTGCAGGATTTGGAGAATTTTATTTGATTTTTTTTTACAATTGAGCCAATTAATATTTATATACTGTTGGTCTACATTAACACAGGGTACAATTTTATAGATAACTCTTACTGAGTTTAATATAAAGCAACGTTTCGACAAGGATACTCTCGTCTTTATCAAGAATGTGTCGTTTATATCAACACAATGGTCCCGACCAGGTGCGCAATCACCAAAAATGAGCACGCAGTGGCGACACCAAATGACTTCATAATGATGGTTGCTAGGCAGAAGTGTAAAAATTAAGAAGACGTTTTTCGTCTAAATAATAGAAATAAGATGGAATAAAATTAAAATTTGCACTGAACAAATAAAGAAGTTGGATTATACATTGTCTTAATTTAAAAAAAATACATGAATAGAAGTTAGAAATTACATGAATAGAAGTCAAAAATTACATGAACAGAAGTTAGAAGTTAGACGAAAGCTCGTTAGAATTTTGAATCTAATATACCGCCATAGTATACTGGCTGCAGTAGATTTTCAACTCACTGATACAACTCAGTTCAAGCCAAAGAGCTGTTATATGATACTGTGACACAGTGACAGGATATCTGCTTGAGGCAAACTATTCATAAACAATTGACTCTTACAAGATCAGACGGAAAATATTTTAGGCCTACTGCTTGTAAAGTAAAGCTTTGGCCTACATTCTGGTTAATTTTGTGCTACCATAGATACATACTATTCAAAAAAAGTAGGGGATATTTGATTTTGGGGGCATAATACTAAAATATGCAAATGGCTACGAAAAAAGTCACTATAGAACCTAACAGAAGAAACATTTCTAGTTACATGTGACGCCCAAACGCACCAATAGCTACCGCATGGAATGCAGGTGATGCTTGGGATCATCATGGGGGTCCAACCCAAGATTTGCACGACTCTGACTTTGAATGTTACAGTCATTGTGGCATTGAATTCCAGGGTGGAAACATCAGTTTAATTGTTTTAGTGACCAGAAAACAAATTTTGATATGCGTCGGCTTACCCAAAATGAAAGGTTACGTGCCCTTGGCATGCTACAGATCGGCACAACACAGGCGGTTGTGGCGCGGACGATGAATGTTTCTCAGTCTGTCATAAGCAGGCTATGGTCCAGATACCGTGATACACAATCTGTACAGGACAGACCACGCTCAGGTCGACCAAGGGCGACAACTCAAGCCCAGGATCGATTTATCCGTACCTTGGCCTTGGGAAATCGTGTCATCACAGCAAATCAGATCAGCGCTCGTCTTCAAACAGACACTGGTGTGAGAGTGAGTGGCCAGACGATTCGGAATCGACTGCATAGGGGTCACCTTCGCGCCCGACGTCCTCGCGTGATCCCTTGTTTGAGAGATCATCACATTCAGGCAAGACGTCGTTGGTGTAGGTATCGTCAACACTGGGATAATCGACGCTGGAGCAATGTGATGTTTTCAGATGAGTCAAGGTTCACTGTTGATTTTTTGGACAGACGTAGGAGGGTGTGGCGTCGTCGAAACGAGCGCTTCCAAGACGTTAACGTCATCAGACATGATCGATTTGGGGGTGGTTCTGTTATGGTGTGGGGAGGCATCACTGTTGCTGGAAGAACGGCTTTACATGTTGTTGCAGGGCGTGTTACAGGCCAGTACTACCGGTACAACATCTTGGCAGTCCATGTTGTGCCGTTCGCACGACGTCATGGCCGCCGTTTCATCTTCCAGGATGACAACGCAAGATGTCACAGGGCCAGGATCGTTACAGGTTACCTCCAACAACAGAACATCACCACATTACCTTGGCCAGCACTGAGTCCCGACCTCTCCCCCATCGAGCATGTCTGGGACATGCTTGGACAGAGGTTACGTCAACGTCAACAACGTCCTGCCAATGTCCAAGAACTTGCTGCTGCGTTGCAACAGGAATGGGACAATCTGGACCAAAATGACCTTAGACGTCTCATTAGGAGTATGCCACGTCGGATCAATGCTTGTTTGGCAAACAGAGGAGGATTTACCCGTTACTGACTTGGTTGTGATGCTGTGGTAACTTTGCTGTTTGACCCCGGGTATCATTTTACCCTTATAATGGTCAGTCTGTGCCTTACTTAGTCTAATGATCATTTGGAATAAATCGATGAATGTGAACTTCATTTCATTTTGTCATTTGTTTCTTCGTCAGTTTCATTAGGTGACTTTAATAACACTTAAAAATCAAATATCCCCTACTTTTTTTGAATAGTATATATGAGTTCGGTACATAATTAAAAAGTCTTTATTTCTTTGCCATCTGGGTGGTTTCATAGACGAGTGTTATTGAGGAGTGTTATTGAGTTCAGTCGCTTGGTTTCAATCCCAAGTCGGTATGTGACAAATAGTTGTGTATGATAAGTAGTAATGTCATCTAGCTTCCATATACAAAGCCCTTATCAACCTTTTTATAACTTCCTCGACATGACTGCCACGAATGGTGCTCAAATATAGGATCTGTAAAAAAAAAAACAAACAAAAAATTCAATTAAAGCAACTTTTATACTCCAAAATAAAAATGAAATTAGGTTTAAATTATCATTCAATGTGTACAAAATACCTTGGTTGTTCGTCCCATTCGAAAGACTGTACATTGGCCCCAACCTGCAGAGACTGGCGTTGGCCCTCTCCAGACTCTCTGTCGTGCTCAAAAGTCAACTTTAGTTATGCACAGCGGGTAGATTTTTGATGAAAAGCAATAGCAGCCGGGGTCCAAGGGGGAGACGTCAAGTTTGGAATTACGTTCTGGTTGATTACAGTGTTACAGAAGAATTTGCTATATTTCTGCTATTTAGAATCAGAGAAGATTGAGATTAAAGTGTTGCCAATGCTATGAAAGTAAAAATGTCATGTGCCAAAGCCTGCAGCGTTGAGTAGTGAGGACATATTTTTTTTTAGTCCAAAAGGTCTAAGTAATTATTAATTAAGTACAAATGAAAATGTGTACAGTAATAAGCCGATTGTAATTTTTTTTTTTTCACAAAAGCAAACTGTTTCGTAACCTGGCGTCTTACAGAAATAAGAATTACGGTGAAAAATTAGAAAATAAGGACATAGAAATAGTTTTACATCTGTGTGAATAGTATTTTTACTACTATTACATTGTATTGTAAGTTCTTTTCATATCGCTGAATTTGTAGTCTCAGTGTACGTGTATATCAGCAGTCGGGGATATAAGAAAAAACTTACTTTCAAATAAAACCTCTCAATTTAACTGGTATAATCTATCTTTCTCTGTTTGTGTAATCCATGTAGCTGTATATTGAACATTTCTCATGCACTCCACGAATAAATTCCAAAACGCCCGCCATCTTTAAAATAACCATCCCACAATACCTCGCTTCCGGGTTCAGAGTTATGAAAAAGTACGTAGAAATATAAAAGAATCAAAATGATTTTAATAATGATAGTATAATCAATGTGGACAATATACTGAAAAAGACAACAAACATAGACCACCTAACATTGAAATCAGTTAATAGAAATTACATTTAATAATCTATCGATGTAGTTATTCATTTGTATTGACTGTAATTTATCTTGACCTTGATCCAAAATGGCGGCATATATCATTTACGTAGATAACGGAGTCTATGCGACTATCAACTGTAGGCCTACGCACTTCAATATTTTATATATAGTCTATAACTACGTAATATTTTAGGCCTATGAATAGTAAAATTGAAGAAATTATTATATGATTCAGAGGCCTTTTTTTAAGCATGCACATGATATAATATACACACGTACAGCTTTATTCGGATCACGACGGATGCAGTACTGCACTGGCAGTAGCCAAACTCGTATATTTGGTTGATGTTTTTTTTTAAATAGATCGACTAGAGCCATTTTATTCAGTTGTATCAAATTAAATAATCCCGATTTTTAAAATAATATTTCCATTGCGAATATAGGTATCTACTTTTAAGATGTCGGAATTTTTTTTATATTTATTTTCCCAGTCTTATATTTATCTAGGTCAAACTACAACATATTTATTCGACCGTTGGACAACTTTCAAACGTGTGATAGAATCTACTATAAGGACTAAATTAAATATATTTTTTGTGGTAACAGAGCTTAGACACATAACAAATTGTACACACATGCATTAAATAATATCTAAATTTCTACAAATTTTGACCGAATTTAAATTGGTTTGAAAGGCCACTAACATGTCTGAGTTGGGGTATTAAGATCATTTATATTTACTTATTGTGCAAAAGTTAGTCAATTTAATAAATTCAATAACCACCCATGCAGTTAAACCGTAAACGCTGCCCCAAAATTAACATTCAGGCTGTAAAGGTGTTTTGGGCAATGAAATAAAAAAAAAGTATTGTAATATTTTGGGGCAGATTTTATTGGCTAGTTCTTGTATGCATGGAAAACAGGCCACATGAAGCCAAGCCTAGAAAATATTCCAGAGTGTCCTAAATCTAATTAGCCATCAAATTTCCAAACATTCAACCAAAATGAGACGGAGGAGTCCACTAGGCCTACTATATTATTATTATGGTTCAATTATAGCACTTCATTACACATGAGTATTTCTAAGCGCATTCACAAAAACACCCATTTCAACACCATTTTGGGGGGGTTGGATGGCCGAATGGGGACGACCTGTCATTGAGTCAACTGGCGTGGTTTCGAATCCCCGGTTATACGTGACAAGGAGTAGGGTCGCCTGTACAACCTCGTGGGTTTTCTCCGGGTCCTCCCACTGCTAAAGACCCCTACGTGCAAGCAAATTATTGAAATAAAATTAAACTATATGTTAGTCCCGAAATGACCTAGTTTGTGTCAAGTGGACATTAAACCCCATTTCTCTCTCTCTCAAACCCCATTTCTCTCTCTCTCTCTCTCAACACCATTTTTGAAATAAATGAGTTCTTAAGTTTTGGATGGAAGAGGACTCACGAAGAGTTTTTGGAAGACAATTTCACCTTTTAGCTGCTCTGACAGAGAAAGAATATTGACCAGCATATTCAATATGTTTCTTTTCTTACGATAGTTTAACAAAATAAAATTTACAGTTCGCACTACTTTCGAGTAGTTGTTGTAGTCACAGAGACTCGAATAGTAAGGAGAATGTGTTCGTGAACTGCACAGGTTTTTTTGTGGAATTATATTTATGACCCCTTTGCCACAGTGGCTAAGTGAATAAGACACTGGCTGGCTTGCTTGGAGGTCACAGGTTCGCTCACAGTGTTGCCTGAGAAAGCTCATCAGAATTTTCCGACGTGGTTTCCGCTTGTCAGTGCTGCAGGACGGAGGGCCTGACAAGGACAGCTGTCTAGTCGTTTGGATGGGACAAAAAACTGAGGTCTTATGTACACATTGGCATGTACATAAAAGATCCCCTGGCAGTTGGAATTCAATATAAGAGTAGGCCTGAGCACTGCTGTCCAAACAAAACTCCCTTGTAGCACACTGGCGCGAGGTTGGATGGCCAAATGGTTAGCGTGTGCGCGTTGTATCATAAGGTATGATTGAGTCAACTGGCGTGGTTTCGATTCCCTGGTTGTACATGACAAGGAGTAAGGTCGCCTGTCAAACTTCATGGGTTTCTCTGGGTCCTCCGGTTTCCTCCCACAGCTAAAGACCCCTACGGGCACGCGAATTATTGAAATAAAATTAAACTATATATGTTAGTCCAGAAATGACCTAGTTTGTGTCGAGTTGATGATAAATGCCATTTCATTCTCTCTGAGGTCCCATGTACACATTGGCATGCACTTAAAGATCCCCTTGCAGTTGGAATTCAATATAAGAGTAGGCCTTAGCACTCCTGTCCAGACAAAACTCCGTGGTAACGCACTGGCGGAGGGTCGGATGGCCAAATGGTTAGGCGGTGGACACACTAGCCGAATGATTCGGTGTCCGCTGTCATTCGGCCGAATAATTCGCCCAAATCAATTATATTCGCCTGGTGTGTTCGCTTCGCCGAAGCATTCGGCCAAATATAGAATTCATTAGCCAATCACCACTCATATCGAGAAGTCACATGATAGATAAAAGACATAGACGCCGCCATGTTTAATCATGTGACGTGAAGGGTGATGCAACCGACAGGTTGAATCGGGCGAAGCATTCGGCTAGTGTGTCCACCCATTCGGCCGAACGATTCGGCTAGTGTGTCCATCGATTTAGCGCATGCGTGTTGTATCATAAGGTATGACATTGAGTCAACTGACATGGGTTCCATTCCCGGGTTGAATATGACAAGGAGTAGGGTCGTCTGTCCAACCCCGTGGATTTTCTCTGGGTTCTCTGGTTTCCTCCCACTGCTAAAGACCCCTACGGTTAGTCCTGAAATAACCTAGTTTGTGTCGAGTGGATGTTAAACCCCATTTCATTCTCACTCTCCCTTTGGATGGTGCCACACTTTTTCATGCATTATCATTATTTGTTTTCCCTCTCAGGTTTGATTTCGATTGCAAAACCACATAAAAAAGGCTATTAATTGGACTACTTTCAAGTTGCTGTAGTCACAGACTCAAATAGTAAGGAGAATGTGTTTGTGAACTGCAAATATTTTTTTTTGTGGCACTACATTTATGACCCCGGAGCCACAGTGGCTAAGTGAGTAAGACACTGGCTGGCTAGTGTCCATCAGGATTTTCCGATGTGGTTTCTGCTTGGCAGTGTTGCAGGACAGAGGGCCTGACAAGGACAGCTGTCTAGTCGTTCGGATGGGACGAAAATCTGAGGTCCCATGTACACAAAATGAAATGGGGTTTAACATCCTACTGTTCTGCTCCTAAACCGGGCTAATGAAGATGGGCCTACACCATACAGTGTGCTATGAGGGAAATTTTGCCCGGGCAGCGGCACAACAGAATACTCTTATATCGAATTCCAACTACCAAGGGATCTTTTACGTGCACTCCAATGTGTACAAGACAGGAATAATAAGGAGAATGTGTTTGTGCACTGCACAGGTTTCTAGTCTTTCGGATGGGACGAAAAACTGAGGTCCCATGTACACATCGGCATGCACGTTAAAGATCCCCTGACAGTTGGAACTCAATATATGAGTAGGCCTTAGCACAGCTGTCCGGATAGCGTGGTTGAATGGCTAATGGTTAACTTTCAAGTTAACACACTGGCTAACTAACGAGGGGTCCGATCCTGGTGTAGAATTTTCCCCTTGTTTGTAATGTAGGACAGTGTCTAGTCCTTCAAATAGGACAAAAAATCAAGATCTTGTGCTCATGTTGCATGTGCATGTAAACGAAACCTTGACAGCTGGAATTCGAAATGAGAGTAGGTCATTCATTCATTCCTTTTTCTCTTTGTGTCGCTTACAGGCTGAAATTCTTTTAGGAGTTAAAAGGTTCGATCCCTGCATTGGCCGAGAAAGTGATACGGGACGTAGGGCCTGATAAGGACACCTGTCTAGTTGTTCAAATCCGATGAAAAACTGAGGTCCTGTGGACACATTAGTGTGCACGTAAAAGATCCATTGACAGTTGGAATTCGATATAAGAGTAGGTCGTAGTGCCGCTGTACGGGCAAAATGTCCCTCATAGCACACTGTATGGCACATGCCCGTCTTCATTAGCCCAGTTCGGGGCAGAACAGTAGGACGTTAAACCCCATTCCATTTCTATTGTTGGGCCCCTGGAAATGGACAAAAATGGGTAGCAAGGCATATAATAATATAACATGAATGTATATAAACTGAATAAAGTTCAGTCTTATCTGGTTTTACTGTATATTTTAATCAATTATGTTCGACAAAATATGCAAAAAGCCCAAATTGAATGACAGTCTTTGGCGTCTGCTTATTCTAGTCCACACCAGTATTCTCCTGTGGGATATGGTTAGCCTTCTTCATCGAGTCGCTTCATTAAAAATGGTGCTCATGTTATTAAACTGACATTTGTTTACGTAAGAAAACTAAGGATAAAAAATGACAGTAATTTAATTGTTAGTATCATGAAATTAAACTGACATTTGTTTTACTTTATACAACTAATATCAGGTTTATGTTAGAAAACTAACGTTAGATTTATGTTAGAAAACTAACATTAGATTTATGTTAGAAAATTAACGTTAGATTTACGTTAGAAAACTAATGTTAAATTAACGGTTAAAATTATGACATAAAAGTAACGTTATATTAACGTTGGAAAACTAACGTTATATTAACGTTAGAAAACTAACGTTAGATTTACGTCAGAAAACTAACCATAAACTAACGGTTAGAAACCTGATGTAAAATTTACGTTAGAATTACAACCAATAATACATATATAATTATTATGTCTGAATTCCAACTATTTATCAATTGTTAGAATGTGCACACACTTGTAATGTTATTTAATCAAGAAG